GTTCCCTTCCAGTTTTTAATGTATGAATCTATAATCTTCTTCCTATTTTGTTCCGGTGGTATCTGGCTTGGCAGATATATGTAGGTAGTTTTATCTTTCCTTCTCTGACTTACATTTAATGCTCACTAGAGCAGATTTGGAAAATCCCAGTTTCTTTTGAGGTGTATTTTATGGCCAAGAGCCTGCCATTTCTGTAATTTAAGCCATGATCCATCCAGAACTTCAAATTCCATTCTCAGGCCATATTTCATAACTAATAATTCAGTTCTCAAATCCGTAATTCTCTTCTGAACCCCTTGCTTTTTGGATTTTAGTGAGTTTTTATTAGTATATTTTGTTTCGTATGTACAATTCCTATATATTTCATCCTATGTCTCTTCCCTTATTACCTCTCAGAAAGACATCCCATATAACCAATATTTCTTTTAAAAAGAAACAAGAGCAAGATAAATAAAACATTTGCCCCAATTGATCAGTTCATCAAAAAAAGTCTGAAATTATATGCAATATTATATATCTGTGTAGCACTTACCTTTTTAAGCTTGTTCTTTGAAACTTTACAGCATTAACTTTAACTGTTTTATGTTTTTTATTCTTTCCATTGATGTACATAATCATTGTATATATTGTTTTTCTGGCTTTGCTTATTTTACTTTCCATCAGTTCATATAAGTCTTTCCATGCTTCTCTGTATTTATCCTGCTAGGTCCTCACTTTTTTTGTTCATTTTTTTGGAGCATTCGGGGTTAAATAACTTGTCCAGGGTCACATAGCTAGTAAATGTCTAAGGCTGGATTTGAACTCAGGGCCTCCTGATTTCAGGGCTGGTGCTCCATCCACTGCACCATCTAGTTGTACCTACGTCTTTACTTTCAATCAATGTCAGTTACTTAAAAAACAAAATATATACCACTTGTGTCTCTAATATGTTCATTTTGGGTGGGAATTGGTTAAATTAGAGCCAGATTGTGGTGACCCTTAAATGCCAAAGGAGTTTGTAATAGGCAATGGGAAATTAGTGAAAAGTTTTGATCATTTTAGGGACATGGTGAGACAGACATAGGCAGATGAATTATCAAGCAATTTCAGTCACCCAAGTATGAACCCATTAAGCACTGGAATAGGTGATGACAGCAAGAATAGAAAGGAACAGACAGATTAAAGTCACAAAGGAGGACTTGATCCTTGCTATGGTTGGTATCAGAGAAAGAAGAGTCGGAGGTAATTCTGGAATTTTAGTTTAGAAGAGATAATATATGAAAAATAATATTACTTTTAATATTAATATAAAATTGTTTAATTTTTAATTATTTTATTAATTAAATTAAATATAATATAAATTATATAATATATAAAATATAATAGAAATAATAGAAAATTGATTAGATTGTTAAATATTGATATTAAAAATTAATATTAATAATAAATAGGGGAGTAAGGAGGAGGAACCAGTATTGATCTGAAGACTACATGTTCAGTTTTATATATTTTGAGTTTCATATTACAACACATTGCTCAAATAGAAACAACTATGTACCTACAAGTATACACACACACACCAACACACACAAATTAGTTGAAAGGTAAACTTAGAAGGATGACTCTAGCATTTTAGTCGGAAAAAAAATCACTAAGATGGTTCAAATGAGAAAACATATGTAAAGTGCTTTGTAAAATATAGCTGTATAAATGCCAACTAGTATTATTATTAATTAGAAAGATGACTTTCTTGCAAAATGGTACATGATTATAAGCCCAGCTGTAATAAAGTTGAGGCTGGTAGATTATTGTTTAGATAGTGACACAGGCTTGTGCTTTATCAAAACCAATTTGGCAGTGAATGAAGAATAAGACAGACCAATCAGAGGGCTATTTCATTAGTTCATATGAGAAATTATGAAAGCCTGAACTACAGTGATGGTTATGGAGAAAAAAGGCTGTGCAAGATGGTGTGATCATAAAAATGACCAAATTTGGCAAAAGTTTGGATATGTAGGATTAGTGAGTGAGGACACAGTGATGTCACTGAAATTAGCCTGAGTGACTAGAGGAATGGTGCAATGCCTTGAATTGTAAATAGGAAAGTTTAGAAGAGGTAAAGATTTTGAAAAGAAGATAATGGATTCCATTTAGGACATGTTGAATTTGAAATGGCTAGAAGTCAACCAATTTGTGTGATCCATAAAGTGAGATGGGACTATATGTATCTCAGGAGATAGACTAGGGATGCATACACACATATACACACACATACATACATGTGTGTGCATATGTGACTGTAGCTGAGGAGAAGGACTAAGATTACATACATACATACATAAATACACTTGCAATATGATTTTGTGAATCATCTGCATAGAAGTGACCATTGAACTAGGGGGAGATGAAGAGATCACAAAGTCAAAAAGTAGAGGTAAAAGCGAAGAGAGCCCAAGAAGAGCCTTGTGGGGCACACTTATTTAGTGTGCATACATGGATGGCGATTCAGCATAGGAGACTGAGAAAGAGTAGAAAGATGTGTAGGAGGAGAACCAGGATACAGCAAAATTATGAAAATCTAGATAGGAGAGGGTAATCAACAGTATTAAATTCTGCAGAGGTCAAATTGAGGATTGAGAAAAGTCATTAGATTTGGTACTTCAGAGATCATTGATAACTTTAAAAAAGAGCGGTTTCAGTTGAATGGCAAATACAAGCCTAATTGCAGAGGTTGTAGGCAGGGAAGGAAGTAGAGGCAGCTAATGTAGGTAGATTTCCTAACAGGTTTAGCCCTAAAGGGAAGGAGAGACAGGATTATAGTTACTGGACATGTTAGGATATAGTGAGAATTTTTATAACATAGGGGTAGTCATAGACATATTTGTAGACAGCAGGAAAGGATACAGATGATAAGAAATGGTCTAAGAATATTAGTTGGGTCATCTACAGTTTAATGATGGGAAGGGACAAGATGAAAGGTGCATAGAGAGGCCTTGGAAAAGGGAAGGGCCAGTTCTTCATCCCAGTCCAGAGTGCATGGAGAAAGAGATGATAGGAAGTTTTCTGAGTAATGTGATTTTGTGAAAAATGGAAAAGCACTAACTCTTGGCAAATGACCTCAGTTTATTCAGTGGAGTGTGAAGAGAGGTCCTCAATATAGAGGGCAAGGAAATATGTAGCTGTGGGACAGATGAAGAGATGCGTAAAGATTTGGAACAACAATAATGGAGAGTAAAATAGTTAATCAACTAGGGAAATTTAGATGGATCACCTTGCTTCAGTGGGGTCCTAGTGAGATTAGATTATGTAAAATTTTACTGGACTCAGTGAGCAGGATTTTCTGATTTCTTCCGATTCATTTAGCAGTACCTGAAAAGGAACAAGTCAGGCACATGGTTGTAGTTCTAGATAGTTCGTGTTTGGCGATGCATTATCAGGGATGTGACAAAGGCGTAATGGACTCTATCATATCTTGGATGGATGGTGGAGACTCTGATAGGTAAGAGTGATGTTAAAACAAGCAAGCCATCTAGCATACTTAATGGATCCTTTGTCAAACAATTATGGGAATACACGAATAAGAATTGCCGAGGAGGGATAGACATGGAAGGGTTATAAGATAAGTCATTAGAGGGGAAGCCATGTTGTTGTGATCACAGATCCACTGAAGTTTTTGACTATTTTATTTGACTATTTTATTCAATGTTTACTATGTTCAAGACATTCCTTGGAGCACTTTAGATATGAACTTTCTTCACAGACTTTGTAATTTATTTACTTGAATGGACATTTCAATTTACTTAGGGTTTGTTCAATATTCAACATTAAAAAAGACAACACTATTAAAGTGCCTCCTATGTACCAAGCATATAACCTATCAGCAGTTATTCCTTGCTTTCTCCTTCACATTTGCATTCCCTTCTGTATTTTTTTTCTTATTTGACTAACACAAGTTAAAAATCTCTTCTCAATGGACAAGCAATGGAATTTCTAGACAGAAAAATATGCGTGTTTGGGAGGCAGTGTAGGTTAGTGAATAAAGTGCTAGACTTGGAAGCCAGAAACCTGGGTTTGAAACCTGCCTCTGAGACAACAGCTTTATGACAGTGGGCAAATTATTTAACTAACATCTAGGCTTCAGTTTCAGGTGTAAAATTGACATAATATTTCCTGGTGTTGTTGTCACTTGTTTCAGTCATGTATGACTCTTTGTGACTCTGTTTGGGGTTCTCTTTACAAAGATACTGGAATAGTTTACCTTTTCCTTCTCCTGCTCATTTTCCAAGTTGAGGAAACTAAGGCAAGCAGGGTTAAGTGACTTTCCCAGGGTCACACAGCTAGATCTAAGGCCAGATTTGAACTCTGGAAGATGAGTCTTCCTGACTCTGGGCCCAGCACTCTATCCAGTATACCACCCAGCTGCTCTAATATTACTTGTAGTAATGACCAAACTGGTTTCTGTGAGTGTTAAATAAGATCACGTGTGTTGCAAATTTTAAAGTACCATATAAATTCCTCATGAAAGATGGGGAAAAGAATCAGGCATTTTTAACATATCTCCTAGGTAGGCATTGATACCTGATATGTTTTATGTTTATTGAATGTTTAAATTCCAGATTTGGGGGAACATGAGATCATAAGTCAAGAGCTAAAATGGACCTCAGAGGCCATCTATGCAAATGCCTTTGTTTTAATGAGGAAACTACTCTGCTTTTTAAAAATGAACTTCATAAATGAAGCATTTCAATACTCTAGCATTTCAGTTGCTCTAGAATAAAAGGCAACTTCCTATGTCAAATGGAATCATAGGATTTCTTAACTACAGAGGAATCTTAGAGATCCCCTATTCAATTTTGCAGATGAGGAAGTGAATTATGCCAGTTAATTGATTTGCCCAAGGTCATACACACCATTAGTCTAATTTTTTGTGGTTATTTCACAAGATATTTTAATGACTCATCAGCTGTTTTTTAAATGACTTTATGACTCATCCATATTTTTTTCTTTTTTTCACTTGTTAGCTCCCAGTTACTTCATCTTTCTCAGGTCCATTTAATGTGTTACCAGTGAAGAGCAAATGGAGCAACGTGGATTTTCATGTTCTTTTTTTTGACCTGGAAAATCTTGTGGAACTTCTGCTCTCCACCCAATTCAACAGCTTTAGCACCTCCCACTCATGGCATGGCAGTGATATCCTAAGAAGAGCCAGAAGCACCTTTGAGAAAAGGCCACTGACATTGAAAAGGAGTAAAACTTCCACCTCTTCTATTTCAGGGGAAGTGCAGATGAAGAATATTTGTGAGAACCAGGGCCAGGGAGATATCCCAGGCAAGTCCTTTGAAGAAAATGAGGGCATCAGACGACATAAAAAAACGAAGAGTTCCAAAAAAGCTCAATTTATACCACCAAGAAAAGTTGATATCAACCTCATGATAGACACAGCTAAACTTCTCTTGTCATGCCTCTTACCATGGGGTGTGGATAAAGAATTAGATAATCTTTGCATTCAGCATCTAAATATTTTAAGGCTTCAATGTCCAGCTTCCTTAGGATTAGCTACAAATGAAGATCACTTCTCTTTGATGTTGCCTGGTTGGAACTTTTGCAGTCCAGGAATGAAGGAAGGGTGTTCAGTCATCAATTTGTTTTCTAGGAAAGTGCTAGACTTGTCAAATAAATACATCGCTGCCCTCCCAAGTCAACCAGAAGGTATAGGGGAGCTAGAAAGTGATTCAAAACATAGGTCAGACACTATATTATATCTGTTAAGCAAATTGTTTATAGTTATTAAGTTAGTTAACATGCCTTTAGAATTGGCCTACAGAAGCAACAGGTAAGAAGTACTTATGATCTTTTCCCATTTTTTGGTGATGGGTGGGTTTGGTATAGAAAAGGATATATTTAACAAAAAAGTACCAAATTTGTGTTATTTTTCATGGGAAATATTGATCGATATGATAAATTTAAAATATGTTTAATTAAATTTGGATCATAGAATTAGAGCAGAAAAGATCCTTAGAAGTATTGAGTCCAAAACTTTCATGATAAAACTGAACCTAGAAAGAGTACAGCATATGATTTATCCAGTCATACAAATGATACAGGATAGTTCTAGGTAGAGCCAGTATTTGAAATCAGTTCCTCTGACTCCAAATCCAGCACCCCTTCCACTATACTATGCTACTTAGACAGACAGACAGACACGCACACACACACACACACACACACACACACACACACATTTGCAGTTAAATTTAATGATGTATTTCATATTTATTTTTGAATTTGAAATACTGTTTTTCTGGTTACAAATTTTTAATTATCATAAAGGAATTTAACTATGGGACTGTTTCCTTCCTATTCAGAAACTAAATTCACATCTTGGGAGAAAAAGTTTCAAAAATTTAGATCTCACCAAATCATACAATCATACTTCATATGAAAGTATAGAAAATTTCTTTTTCAGTTATTTATTTCTAAACAATAAAACAAAAAAAATCTTTTTATGCTTCTCTGTGAGGTGTCATCCCTTGCATAATTTTCTATATTTCTATATTATTATATTTAATTCAATTCTGCAATGCTTTAATTATTGAGCTCTTAATGCTGCCCAGCATTCTGAAAAGTATTATGAGATATCTAAATGTATGGCATGCTCCCAACCCTCAAAGAACTTACAAACTCATTAGGCAAGTAAGACTTACACAGATAGATCAATTAAACTTAATGTAATTGGAAGACAGCTACAAAATATGTGGTATATATAAATGTTGTAGCCAGTCAGAAAAGAAAGAGATCAATGGAGTATTTGTGGAAATATCCTTGGAGGAAGTAGGAATAGCATTTGAATAAGCACTAAATTGTGGTGATATTTTTGTGTTTGGTCATTCTCTTTAGAAAAAGTTTCAATAATTTATCTGAAAGCACACTAACCTGCTTATTTGTCTCTTAGATGCCCCCATTATTGGAAGGACTGATGAGTTTGCTTGATGTACATTTGTACCTCTTGTCTGTACTTATAGTTCATGTCTAATAATCAATTATTTTTCATCTTTCATCTTCTATTGCTTATTCATAAATTTATTCATAAAATTTCACACTACTATATTATTGAACACCCTATAGTCAATCAAAGGTGTATTGAAAATAATATTATGAAAATTTTTTGTCAAACATAGAGAATAGATGTCTAAGTTCTTTTTTCTTTGTCTTTTTTCATGAAGTAGACTTCTTTCCAGAGATCAGTATAGCTACATATGGAGAGGTCCTTCACTAGTAGATGCCTATCTACTGATAAATTATGGCAATATATGAAAACAGAGAAAAACAGAGAAGTGCCCTCAGTTATATGTGTGGTCCCCTTCCATTTTGCAGTGATGAGAAAATGATGGCAAAGAGGATAGATGGAGCTAAGAATCCCACAGTTTTTAGACTTACTATAAATCTTAACTTAGCTGTTGGAACTCTAAATATGCTCTCCTTATCTAATGACTAATAAGTGGCTTTACCATTGGAGGAGTTGATCATATCAATATTGACATTCTTACAATAAATGAAACCAGAAGAAAGAAGGAAATTATATCTAAGTGGAAATGTGGTCTATGGATAATCCAAGAATAGGCCAATGTTGGAGTTGGTGGCACTGATATTATTGCATGCCTCAGACCAACAAGAAAAATAATTTCATGAGACATTTAGTCATCTCTTATTGCTGTGATCATAACATATATCTTCAAAAAATTGAATTTATGCATCATCATTGATTACATAATATGAAGACATCAAGAAATTCTCCAAAGGACTTTTTTAAATAACTTCCAAATTAAATTATTATAATATTAGCATGTAAGAGTACTCATATGAAGATGTTGAGAAACCTATCAAGAAGCATGGGTCATGAACAAAGATGTAGCGGGCCAAAGATTTATAGACTACACAGATGCTTCATGACTTTATGTCATGAACAACTTTTTTTTTTTTTAGAATTGGATTGGTAGGCACTGGGTGTGGAAAACACCAAATAGCATTCCAAAAAAAACCCAAAACCAATGATTATATTTTAACATAAGAAAAGACATTCATGTGAGAATATTGCAGAATCATATATTTGTAAAGAGTCTGATTATTAACTTACTAGAACAAAGGTCAGATTAGTATAAAGCTAAAAGAAAGAAAAATAATGATAAAAAGATGTGGCATGCAATTGAAGCAACTCCACCCTAATCTGTTTTTAAAAGTTATAATAAAAAATCAGTAATGAACAACAAAAATGATAACACCAATTATAATTTTTTTTAGGCAATTGGGGTTAAGTGACTTGCCCAGGGTCACACAGCTAGTAAGTGTCAAGTGTTTGGTCTGAGACCGGATTTGAACTCAGGTCCTCCTGACTTCAGGGCCGGTGCTCTATCCACTGCACCACCTAGCTGCCCACACCAATTATAATCTTAAACAGAAGTTTATTCAATGTAGATCAATTTCCACAACCAAAAAATGAAACTATGCTAAAAAGTGTTTTAGTCAGTAAATGCATAACTTATTTGTCTATTAGAGAAAATAGTCAAAGAAAACACTGATTTAGAATAACTAAACATGAAATACCTCTTTAAAATCTTATTTAAAAGGATGATGGAAGATTATGAGTAATATGACTTTATAAAGCGGAGAAAACCATTGGAAAGTAAAAACAATTTAAAGAATGCCTGGTGAGAGAGTCAGCTAAGCAAAGACATTCCAAGAACATTTGAGGATGAAGATCAAAGGCAACAAACAGGAAAAAAAATGGAAAAAAACCCACTGAAAATATTTTTGCAATATTATTTTCACCATCAGGGAGAGCAGAGACTCTTAACTTTGATTTCAGCATTACAGATCTGGACATGCTCATTATAGAGGAGGTACAAATAGCTATGAAGAGAACAAATATAGGAAAACCAGCCTGATTGGACGAGGGTAGATAGAGAACTGTACTGGATGTGTCAAAACTTTGAGGGCATAGATGCATTGATTCACAAGATACTTGAGTGGGAGAAAGATGTCAAAGGAAGGGGAAAAACATTAGATCTTCCTAATGTTAAAATAGTGATTATATGCCTACCATTTACACATTTATGAAGTGCATCCTTGATGGGAATATTTATACAGAACAGGCAGACTTGTACAAATGATATTCCACATATATTTACTATCATTCATTTGAATGAAAGATATTAGAGAATACAAGATCTCATAGTGCCTATTGCCTGTTTATTATGAAAAAAAACCCCTTTTAATTCCGCAAGTAAAATACCACTTTAAAGTCTCTCTTCCCACAACGTATCTCTCACCATACATCAGAATCATCCAAGATTCCTTGAAAAATATAACAGAAACAAACATTGTTCAATGACCTTCTGCTTATAAACCTCAGGTAAAGCGTATGACTGGGAGACATATGTTTGCCTCTGTTGTGGAGGAAATATAGCAGGGGAGGGAAATTTCTTCAGATATTCCTGTTTTCAGGTGACATTGTGCCCATTGCATCAAGCCCTGAAACATTTAAGAGCCTTCTGAAAGAGTGTCTGACTACTGAAAAGAGGTTATCCTAAACTTCCATATAGGAAAGACCAAAAATGCCTTGATTAGAGCATTCAGACAATCAATACAGCTCCTATGTCAGTATCTCTCTTTGTAACAGGTACTAGAAATGGGCACTGAGTTGGGCCTTGGATTAAACCAAGGGAGGAGAGTGGGTAACTGCTGTTTTAAAGACTCTGAACTTGTCTAGGAAACAAAGGCCTATTGTTGCTCTATAAAACATAAAAACAAAGAGCATGATTGTCTTTAAAGAAGTGAAAATGCATATCCAACAGAGGGCATTGGAGAGATTCATGGTAGGTGTGAGCAGTCTGAAACGTTAACAGATGAGGAATTTTAAAACAGAACAGGTATAAAAAGATGTTATCAGAGAAATGTATAATATAAAATGGTGACTGTCATTCGGCAAGGGTGAGAGATGACAGGTGAACATTTCAAAAGCTCCCTGTAATTCTCCATATTATAAGAACATAAGGAAGGCATATTGAATGTCAGGTCAATCTCCTTGGGTGAACTTAGAAGAGGTCATTTACATGGGAAAGCAGGAATTACAGGATGAGTTGCTGTCTAGAAAGAACATCTAAATAAGTGAAACGATCCATTTGAATAATCCTTCATTGACAAAATTACTTGTTAATTTGTTTCATGCATTCATTCAGCAAGCATTTATATTGCCAGGCAAAACTCCATGTTTGAAATACAAAGGGGTAGAGATAAGGATTGTAGCTGTAGTTTCATTGGCATAGTGGATGCCTCGATGAGGATGCTCGCTCTACTAAGGCAGGTCACACCTTCTCTGCAACTTCTAATCTAAGAGTTGCTTTGAGCAACTCTAGATTAAGTCATTTACCCAGGGTCACATAGTAATTATATGTCAGCAGTGAAATTTGAACACAGATCTTCCTGGCTCCAAAACAGCTGAATACACTAGAGAAATTGGTAAGTGTTGGTCTGGGAATCAGAAAGACCTGAATATAAATTCTGTCTCCAACATTTTTGAGCTGTATGACTTCAGGCAAGTCAATTAACTTCCCTGACCCTCAACTTCTTCACCTGTAAGATGGAAATAATAATAGCACCTCCTTCACAGGGCTGTTGTGAAGAACAATTGAGTTAATTCATATAAAGTGCTTTGAAAGCTTTGAAGCAGTATATCAATGCTAGTTATCATTTTTAAGAAACCACATTGCCTCTTAGTGATACAAAAACCAGCCCCTTTCCACAAAGATCTTGAATTTTATTTGGGGAAACAACATGAGCATAGATATACACACACACACACACACACACACACACACACACACACACATATACAGATATTATATATATGTATGTATGTACAGACACATGTAATAAATATGTACTACATATATACTATGTATGCATATAGTATATATGTAGTACATATTTATTATAATATGTGTATGTACATACATATGTGTATATATAGCATAATAACTCATAGTCCTCCTTCCTACCCCTCAAGAAAAAAACAAAACAAAACATAGTTTTTTCTCCTTGTCTCCAAGGTAAAGTCCCTAAAGGAGTCTACATTGACATGGGTTTGAACACCTGCGCCTTTTAAATCCCTATTAAAATGTTATTACATAGTTGAACTATTCTTCATAATTCTTACTTTTAAAAATAGCTACCAATCTGAGATGCTAAGGTGACATGCATTTTCCTCAAATCAGTAACACTATTTTGGATGTGATGACAGTATATTGATATAACACATATACTTCCCATTCCTTAGAATAAATTTTATCCTAAGCATGATAGACATTTAATTTTTTTCTATTTAACTGTTTTATTAAAAATTTACTCTTGAAAATGAATATAACCAATAAAACTTGTTTACCACCTTTTTAATTTCATGAATTTTTTTTTGCTTTTATAGCATATTAATTTCTTAGTATGCCTTTTTCCTCTCCCCATGCAGAGAGGATTCTCCTGTAATAGTTCAGCAAAACCAACCAAAGCATTTGCCATGTGACAGTGTATTTGACATTTCACACTCATAGTCCCTTTCCCCTTCAAAGAAAGAATGGAGGTCATGAGGGACATTTCAAAACATTTAAATCTTAAAGGAAAGTAAGTTCATCCATAGAAAGAGTAATTATGTATGTCTTAAGAAAAATAGAAAAATTTACAGTTTTCAACTATATTTTCCCTATGACTCTATCACAGTACATATAATTTTTTCAAAATGTTAGACTTTGTAGGGAAGATATGGAATAACACATTGTATATTGAAAGTCCTTTTGTAAAAGAAGCACAAGTTATGCCTGAGACAATTAATATATTAAGAGATATTAATATTTATGTGATTGAAATAAAATTTTCTAATAGGCTGCTAATGGAGGAAGGGACTTGGAGGAATACAATGTAAAATCATGTTAATAGGGAGTAGAAGTGGTTACGTAAATGTCCAGGTATTGGATCTGTCTAGGGAAAATAGGCCTGGGCAGAATGTTACACTAAAAGGGGTGAGGGAAAGGGATAACATTGGAAGAGAGGACTGAAATGGGTAGATTACTGAAGATAATCTTTGCTTTGTTTCCTTTATATTTTGCCTTGAAGCCTGCCTTCCATATGTGGACAATATATCATTCAAGTATTACTTTTCTCATACACATCCAATGGTACCCTTTTTTTGTTCATTTGTTTGTTTTTAGCAGTCACCTCAAAATGGAATCTGTTCCTAACAAGGGAAAATATACTGGCAATGATAATTCAAGTTTCGTGGCAATTTACGAAATGGTAAGTTTTGAGATATTAAATAAGGAAGGAGGGGTCTAATCCTTACATGCTGAGGATGAAAAATATGAATGAATGTAATTTTGGTGTTTAATTTATTTTTATTGATATTTGGTTTTGCATCACTCCCTTTTATTAATTTTGTCCCCCTTTCTATTTCCTAAAGAGCCATACCCACCAAGAATAAAAAAAAAAGAAGGGGGAAAACTAAGTTTAGCAAAACTTATCCATACGACGAAAAATTATCTAGAATTCATATAATACTTCACTCCCACCAAATACAAAGAAACAGAGTCAGCACCTTCTTGTACTTCTTCTCTGGGGCCAATCATATTTGTTATTATTTCATAGTGTTGATTTTATTGTTGTTGTTTAAAATGGCTTTATATTTTAAAGACCCAAAAGTCTTTGTCTACACACATCTAGGACCATGCCTTGCATTATGTATGTGATCAGTAAAGGCTTATTTGGATTGGATAAGGCTAGAGCAAAAGAAATTTGAGTAGAAAGATTAGGAGACAAACACTTTTTGATGTATTTCTTTTAACACGTGTGCATACACATCAATATTTGATCTAGGAATAAAGCAAGAATCTAAAGTGTACATCTTAAAGGTCTGACATAAGAAATTCCTCACTCAGACAGTGAGAAGCGTGACTGTATAATATCCGCAAGGCCAAGATGTTCTCTTTTTATCTCTCCCCTGAAGTTGCAGTTAGATTTTTTAACTCACCGACAATGCCAAGAAAAGTTGGCTCTTGTTTCTAGCTCATATTAAAATTTTAACATCACATTAAAGTACCCTGTGAAGTACCCCATGATGCCAGTAAGTAGTTATACTCAAGACCAATATTTAGCTTTGAAGGTAGATTCACAAGGTCAACAAAATGAAAGAGAGAAAAAGAAAGGGATGGGGGGAGGAGGAGGAGGAAAGATCAAAAGAAAAAATTCACCTGACACGCTATGTTCAAGAAGAAGTAGAAAACAGGACATGGAAACTGCCCAGGGTTTTCTCCTCTTTGCAGTTTTCATACCTTGGTTCTTGTTTTCATTTTCTGTTTGCATTCAGTAATTCATATAGGGGAAAGTATGTTAAAATGATCCAGAAATCTCTTGTATCTGCTTCTTGCTTGTTTTTCAATTATGCTGAACTCTCTTATCTCCTACCACTTTTTTTCTTTTCCTTTGCTCTTGTTGATTAATTAAAAAAAAAAAGATTGAAGGTGATGACCTTTCACTACCATTTATGGAAAAACATATATTAAATCTAATTGGACTCATTTGCATTAAGCATTTCAAGTACACTAGGTACAGTAATTTAACTGAGGAATTACAGTTTTTCAAAAATCTGAACCACCATTTAGCACCCCAGGCAGTCCTCTAAGATTATAAGTTACAGATAGATTTCCAGTGTACATTAGTACTTCTTTATATAGGTTTGGATCCAAAACAAACAAACCCATTATTATTGTAGACATTTGACAGTTTAGAGCTTTTATTATGATAAATGTTGTCATAATATTTTAATCTATTGATTTTCATTTGAGTAACATCATAGATTTTGAATCAATCAAAATGCATTTATTAAGAATATATTCGCATCTCATAATTTGCTGAATATCATAGATATCATCTGAAATCAGCACAAGGAAAGTAAAGAGTCACTGTGATTATGACTAAAATAATTATAGCCACAAAGTGAAAAAAGGCCCCAAAAGGAGGGTATCGAAGCATGGTATTATCATTTTATTAAAACTTGTACACATATTTTTTCACCAGATAAAATAGATATTAGGCTTTTATGTTAGGTATGTTTTTGTGGTTTTATTATTTTTGCTTGTGGTCATATGCATAATGAGATATAGTTTCTTTAAAAGCATTATCCTATCTCTCAAGTTTTAGGGTAGATAGGTGGCACAGTGGATAGAGGACAGGCCTGGGATTAGGAAGACCTGAGTTGAAATCTAACCTCAGATACTCACTAGATGTGTGTCCCTGGGGAGGTAACTTAACCCTGTTTGCCTCTGTTTTCTCATCTATAAAATGAGCTAGAGAAGGAAAGGGCAAACCATTCCAGAATCTTTACCAAGAAAACCCCAAATGGGAATATGAAGAGTCAGACATAACTGAAAAATAACTGAACAACTCTCAAGTTTTATATCTAATAGACATCATTAACCAAGACAGACAAAGGGCAATTTAGAAGGAAATATCTCTTGCTTAGACCCTGTGTAGTCTTGGGCAAAATATTTGATCTGCCCTTATCTATAAAACAAAAGTGTTGGTATAGATGAACCCTAGTCTCTCTTCTACCTTAAAATTAGTGATAAGTTAAGGGAGTGTTAAATAATAAAAGGGATAAGAGGAACAAAAAATAGCATGTGCCAACAAAAATGTTGCATATTTAGATGCTGGGAGCTGAAAAGAAAAAATTCTCTATAGCTTTTCTCGTTAGTCAGTTAAAATTTCTCCTACATGCCAATTGACATTATGTCTGTATTTCTTAATGCTACCTCTTCTTTTTTGCTACTTAGAAATCGGATTACCAAAGTTGTTAGAATGTTGCGTGAAATGAGTCAAAAGGATCTAAGGAGCTACTTGACAGTCAAATGTAGGTTCATGAGTGGTCAGATTTGGGGACAGTATTTCAGTGGCTCAGTGGCCTTTTCTTTTTGACTTATTTCCAGTTCTTAGCTAAATTATTAATGAATGGGTTTGTCAGAAGACTTATTCTGATTTCTGGTTAGTTTGAAAACTGGAGAATTTGAGAACAGACGTAGAAACCTGAACATTATTTTAGGAACCCATGAATTCAAAACAGGATGGTGTTGGCTCAACTCTGGGATAGATGATTAAATTTTTAAAAAATTTGAGAACCCCTCCAAAAAAGAAAATGGCTATTTTTAGCACCATCTCCGTTGAGTGATTTATTTGAATTTTGATGTCTAAATTAGATTACTCTAAGCTCTACCTTGGCACCTAGCTGGCACAGTGGATAGAACTGGCCCTAGAGTCAGAAGGACCTGAATTCAAATCCAGACTCAGATATGTACTGGCATTGTGACCATGGGCAAATCACTTAACCCTCTTTGCCTCAATTCCTTACCTTTGAAATGAGCTGGAGAAGGGAATGGCAAACCACTCCAGTATCTTTGCTAAGAAAACAACAAATAGGGTCACAGAGAGTTGGACACCACAGCAATGACACAACAACCTACCTCACCTTAGTCTTATACTGCTTTTAATGTTCTTTCATCACACGTTTTTATCCTTGGATTAGGTTTTTATCTGTAATAACTAACCATGGTGACCATATTTTTTAACAACAAATGTGTTTAATTGAATGAAATCACAATTAGATCTGTCAAAAGTAGAATTAACCCTCTTACAAAACTGCGAGCCTCCCATTAATGGAGATCTTTAAGCAAAGGTTAGACAACCACTTGCTGGGGATGATAATAATAAGTATCATTTACATAGCATTTAATATATGTTATCTTATTTGGTGTTCTTATTTTCTATGAACTAAATCAAAAGACAACATGGTCTGACAAAAATTTATACTCTAAAACTAGTGTTGTTAATCTGCTCAGCCTCAATATCATAATTATGTTGTTTCCCCTCTAGAGTTTTGAATTACAATATCACTGATTTTAGATAAATCTTTTCGGATGATAGTGAATATTTTTACTGTCCTAAGTGCCTAACATAATACCTGGCACATAATAGGTGACTAATAAATATTTTTTGATTGACAGACTGCATAAAAAGCTGGGAGTGGCATCCTGGGAACTTCTGGCAAAGCATGAGATTGAAGTAGTAGTGCTATATTCCTCAGCCCATATTCTTTTTTTTTCCTTCCTCCTCCTTCTCCTGTTTCTGCTCTACCTCCTTTTTCTCCTCCTCTGTATTGCCTTGGGCTTCATACTTTGGGGTAACTGTGGATGAAGAAGAAAGAATTAATTCTATAGTTAGTAAAAGAGCAAGACAGGAATGACAGAAGAGAGAGGATTGGAAGGACTGACGGATTGCGATAATGAAGTTCATCTTCTGTGTGCGCATCACTATTAAATATCTTACGTGTTGGTATAGTAGAGGGGAGTGCTTATTCTCATAGTGACATCAGGACTATTCTTAACTATTTATAATTAGTTGAGCACTGTGTTAAGTACTGGGGATTCAAAGAAAAAAGTACTACCCCTGATCTCAAAGAGCTTAGTTTCTGATGGGGGAGACAACATTTATAAATCAGAACATACGAGAAAAATAAAGAGAAGATGGAAGCTAATCTTAGAGGAGATGGTACTGGGTCCTCAGAGGAACGGTTCCAGGAGGAAGTAGTGCTTGAGCCAAGTCTCAAAGGAACCCAGGTTTTCTGAGAGTCAGAAGTTGAGGAGATCATTCTCTTCTTGGGAAACTTCCAGCACAAAGATACACAAAGAGAAGATAGAAAGTCATGTTTAGAACAGTATTGCTAGATTGTAAAGTACATGGAGGGTAGTACTATATAAGAATACTAGGATAGTAGGAAGGATCCAAATTATGAGGAGCTCTAAATGCCCAACAAAGGAGTTTATATTTGATCCTTGAGATAATATGGAGCCACTAGAGTTTATTGAGGAGGGGAGAGTGACATGGTCAGATCTGTATTTTGGGGAAATCACTTTGGCAACTGAGTGGAGGACAGATTAGAGTCAAGAGAACCTCTAGGTAGGGGACCAACCATCAGTCTATTTTAATAGTCCAGGAAAGAGATAAGGGTCTAAACTAGGTTCCTAGATCTGCAAGTAAAGAAAAGGTGAGGTACAAGAGATTTTATGAAGAAATAATATTTGGCAACTTATTGGATATGTAAAGCAGTAAACAAGAGGGTTGTCCAGAGAATGACATTGAACTTTTGAATCTGGGAGACTAGAAGAATTCTTGACAGTGGTCATTTTGATAGTTAATAAAGAAATTCATAAGAGAAGGTGGATTTGTGGGGAAAGAAAATGAGTTCTTTCATGTTGAATTTGATATGTTTATGAGACATGGACTTCGTGATATCCAAATGGTAGTCAGTTATAGAACACTATAGCTCAGTTAAGGGATTAGGGGTAGATTAATAAGTCTGGTACTCATCTATATTCAGATAATAACTGAACCAATAAAAGCTGATAGATTAACAAATGAGATAAAATAGAAGAAAATAAAAGGAGAAGACCCATGATAGAGCATTGGGAGATATCCACCATTAGGAGGGTATGACATGAATGAAGATCCAGCAATAAAGACTGAAAAGAAGCATTCAGAAAGGTTAGAGTTGATCCAAGAGAGAGAAGAGTCAGAAAAACTCTGAGAAAAGAGCATATCCAGGAGGAAAGATTGGTCCACAGCATCAGATACTGCAGAGAAGTCAAGGAAATGAGAATAGAGAAGATGTCATTAGATCTGCCACTTAGAGGTCATTGATTGGATAGAGCAACTTCAATTGAATAAGTCAGAATCCACATTGCAGAAGTTTAGAAGTAAGTGGGAAGCACCAATTGTAGACATTTTAATTCTTAAAAATTTTTTTTAATTGTAGACATATTTTAAGGAGCTTAGCTGAAAAAGAAGGAAGATATATAATCAAAGCTTCCGGAAGTGGGCTATACTGCCCCCTGGGGATTCTGGAATGATCCAGCCAGGGCAGTAGTAGCCTTGCTTGCAATTGTGGGGGGGGGGGGGAAGGCATTGAATAAAAATAAGGGGGCAGCGGAAGCATAAGGAAAGAAGAGAAGAAAATTTTGAATAACCTATTGTACATGTTTCATCTGTTGTGTAACAAAGTTAAAATCATAGTGATTATGTTACTTTCCAAATGAAAATACAAAATGCAAGTTATAATTGATCAGTGGTAAAGTCTGGCAACAGGTCTTAACAAACAAGTGTTGGCAGGTGAGCCTTTTGTGCATTGTCAGGAAGTCCAGCATGCATTGGCAGGAATATGTGCATGTAATAACTTGTTTACAATACAGTTCTATGTGGTTACATGATATGGTATTACATCATCAAAATTCCAATGCAGGAAAAACCCCACAAATTTACAATAAATTATTAAATTTAAGACATATCATTTAACAATATTTTCTATTTTGTTAAATGACACAATAAAAAAAACTGTTAAAGAGTTAAAGAAAGTAGATTTCCAGGGGAGCACTGAGTAATTTTTTTTGAAAAGGGGGCAATAGTCCAAATAAGTTTGGGAACCTCTGTTGTTAGCTGGTAGGTATGCTAGGATCTAGTGAAGCTTGCTTTAAGGATTGACAAGAGTTGAAACATGTTTGTAGCCAAGAAGGAGTAAGTGTATTGCCAAAGATTGCTTGTTTCTTTACTCCCCAAGAATCAATCCTCTTGTCATTTCACAGGCCCATCATTACATTTCTACTACATTCCTTTTCATTTCAGTATTTTTTTATTATTCTTCTCCAGTCCATAAAGAAAACACAAATGTAAACAGCTTTGACATGCAAATGGCTGAGCTTTGCTAAGGATTTTGCTCTTTTATTTTTTTAAAGATGGAAGGTCTTTTAATGTGGCATACTAAATATCTTGGTGACTAATATATTTCTTTTTTTTATATTGTATTAATTTATTTATTTTTAGTTTTCAACATTTACTTCCACAAGATTTTGAGTTCCAAATTTTCACCCCACCTCACCCCTCCCCCCCACCCCAAGATGCCATGCATTCTGAATATCCCTTCCCCTAGTCTGCCTTCCCTTCTATCTCTTCCCCCCCACTTCTCTTATTCCCTTCCTCTTCTACTTTCCTGTAGGGCAGGATAGCTTTCTGTACTCCATTTCCTATATTTCTTATTTCCCCGTTGCATGTGAAAACATTTTTTTAAACACATGTTTTTAAAACTTTGGCTTCCAAATTTTGTCACTTCCTCCCTCCCCACCCACCTTCATTGAAAAGGCAAGGTTATACATGTGCAGTTATGCAAAACACTTCCATAGCAGTCATGTTGTGAAAAACTAACTCTATTTCCCTTAATCCTATCCCGACCCCCCCATTTATTCTATTCTTTCTTTTGACTCTGTCCCTCTTCAGAAATGTTTGCTTCTGATTACCCCCTTTCCCAATCTGCCCTCCTCTCTATCATTCCCCTGCTCTCTTGTCTCCTTCTCCCCCTGTTTTCCTGTAGGGTAAGACAGATTTCCATACCCAACTGAGTGTGTATGTTATTCCCTCCTTAAGTCAAGGATTTTGCTCTTTCTAGAAAAATAATGCCTACTAGTTGAATGTTTCAAGATGTGCTTACTTTCTCAACAAATAATGACATACATTTGAATTGACTATGAAGTGTGAATTTTCAGAAACTGCAAATAAACTATTATCTAACAATCTAATACAGCAGTCACCTGCCTCAGAAGCTGAATGTTTTGAATACTCCTAAGTCATAATGAGTGCTTTGCATGTTTCTAGGTAAAACTGAATTTCATTTTCCTGATGCTGATCTTTCCCTGGTGAAGCTAGTTTCCTGCTGGAGGGAACAATCTGTACAGGTAGGAGGCAGTTTATGCTGTGAAAGACAGCTCCTTGATGCTATGACTCAATTTGTTGTTTGACACACATTCCCTTTACTCAAGGACAATATATGTTTTATCAATACATCTTCTGGGTTTAACAAGTAGGGCTAAGCATTGCCTGTGGCAGGTCTAAGGCATAGAAAGAAACAGAAGAAATGTGAAAAATATGAAGGAGTGAGAGCAAGAGAGAAAAGAACAAAGGTGTTCTGAGGGTGGAAAACCAGCCCCACAAATTACAGGAGCTCCTTCTTCTAAAAGCTGCCCAATTCAAAACTGAACTCCTAGAATATTTTGCCTTGGGGTAACAGTCAGTCTGTCAATAAACATTTACTTAGTATATTCCAGGCCCTGTGCCTAGCACTGAGGCTACAAAGAAAGGCAAAAGATAGTTCCTGCCTTCAAGGAGTCCACAATCGAATGGAGGAGATAGGCAAACAACTATAAATATATATGTGTATATGTGTATATATATATATATATATATACATATATATATATATATATACATATATATATATATATATAAGCTCTATACAGAATTAATTCAAAGTAATCAACAGAGGAAAGGCACTATAATTAAGAGAGAACAAGAAAGACTTCCTGTAGAAGACTGGATTCAGGCTGGGACATGAAAAGCAGGCAATCCAGGAGGTATAAATGAAAGAAAGAGTGTTCCTGCATGATATATGTGATCTCATAGTATATTCATTCACATTCTATCGTAATGGGTTTTTTTTTCAAATGGTGGCCACTTAGTTCTCAGATCATAAGATGATTATTTTCAGGTCACTTAAGAGATGTCAAATTTTGATAAAGAAGTGAACTGCAAGTTATGCATTTTATATACATCCCTTACTTTCTAGTTCCACTTTCCCCACTCAGGCTCTTACCTATACAACTGCATTAGTCCATGAACTGGTTGCAATGGCTTCAGTATCTTTCTTCTACATATACATTAGGTAGATTAATCTCCCCTGAAATAGGGCTTTTGTCACATTATTGTGGTGTGCTGCATGTCTTTCAACGGTGGCCTCCATGGTCAACTTCAAACTTCTAGACCTCTTACAATCTGTTGCCAGGCTTATCTCCTATCAAACCCTCTATTCTAACAAATCTGGCCTTCTCATGTTACTCTAAAACATTATGATCATTCTCTACATCTAGACCTTAACCCATACTGTTCCCTGACTGTGGTGTCTTCCCACCTTTCTTTCAAAAGTTAATCATTCTTTCAAAACCCTGCTCAAATCCAATCTCCTGTGTGGAATGTTTCTAGACTACACGAAAATCTCCTTGCTCTGAGTGCATTGTGATATAAATAATAGGTGTGTCTTCTATAGTTCTTAATTGTAGTATCACTAATTTAGCATTTATTCATTCAAAAGCTATTTATTATTCATCTACTGTGTGTAAAAGCACTTTACTTGGCTCTGGGGGAGAAACTGAGAAAATTAAGACATGATTCCTGCTTGTATGGACTTTATAATTTAGCCCTTAACATATACTACTGGGAGGGTGAAAGGGTTTCTTTAAATGATATTTTTCACCTATATTTCTTTTTTAGATAACAAGGCTATAATTTCCCTTGGGGTAAGAACTATGTCTTATCCTTTGAATTCCCTGTATATATAAGCTTGTGTGTGTGTGTGTGTGTGTGTGTGTGTGTGTGTGTGTGTGTGTGTGCGTGCGTGCGCACGCGTGCATATGTAGCAACATGGTACCTCTCACAAAGTAGATAATCAAAAATCTTTTTTGACTTGATTAACTAAATGTAGAATTTTCATCCGTTATCCCACTGTAAGGAAGATACTGGAACATAGCCTTTTATGCGGTAACAGATGTGATGCTTCCAGGGGACATATGGATGTTAGACTCTCAAACTGTATCCTCATGAATATGTTATGGTTCTCTTATCTAAGAATGTTACTCATTTTTGTCCCCAGATGTTCCTTTTCTCCTTCCCTTAGTGTTGTTTCATTTGTCCATCTTCATCCAAGGGCATGATTTAAAATAATTAAATTATTATTAAAAGCAGAGATATTAATTGCACAGATTGCACATTCCATTCAATTTCATGTATCATCCCTCTCAAGGCAGAAACTTATTTCCTTCAGGAGTTCATTCTCTTTCTTCCCCTCTGTTACTTCCCCCCAGAGAAAGTCAATGTCTTATAAAAGAACTCTCATCTTCCTCATGAAATAGAAGTGAGACTCAAGCCACAATTTACATCTGGATTAGAGAAGGCTGTAGAAACTTCCGTTGTTCCCACAGTTTTAGCTGCAAGAGAAAATATGAGCACAGGTTTACGCTTCCAAGAGCCCAGAAGCTCCATTCCTTCCTGGAAGGCCACTTCAGGATCAGCCAGTTCCTTTCCCTTTTCTATTCCTACTTTCCTTCATCACTGAAATCAGATTTTGCACAAATGCCCCAAAGGCTCTTTCCTACAGAGTGCTACCAGAAGGCAGAATGGCTCAGCTACCTGGTAGCTGTGATCACAGAATACAGAAGTGAAAGGAATCTGAAAAGTCATCTCATCCAACCCCTTTATATTAAACTCAGTAAAATTGAAATTCAGGGTTATAGTTCCCTCATTTCACCCAAGTAGTAATTAGCAGTTCCAGCTTCAAACCCAGATCCTGATACTAAGTTTACTGCTCATTCAACAGCTCCACACTTCCTTTCTTATGTTATGTTCTAGGTATTTTAAAAAAATATATTTTTCTTTGAAGACTAAATCAAATTATAATATCTATATGACTCTGGGCAAGTCATTTAACCTCTCAGTGCCCCTGGATTTGGATTGTCACTGTTGGACAGAAGCTTTGACTTTCCCCATATTAAACACCTCTGTCTAGCCCCTCAAAGAATAAGTTAAAAAGCAATTACCTTTCCATGTTTGTAAAAAGAGAGGATTGTATGTTGCCTGTAACAATGAACTATATGTGTGTGCACAGATACATACCCACGTATATATGTATACATATATACACACACACATATATGTATATATGTACATATATACATATATATGTGTGTGTGTATATATACACACACACACACACACACACACACACACACACACACACACATTCAATATTTATCTCAACAGCCTGGTATAATTGAGGATAATGTCTGAAATTTGGAAGAAATGGATTCAAATACTTTCTAAGACACTTAATAGCTGTGTGACCCTGATTAAGTTGCTTAGCCTCTCTTATTCTCATCTGTAAAATGGAGATAATAATAGTACTTACTTTGTAGGGTTATTGTAAAGATCAAATGAAATAATATATATAAAACATCTTGCAACCCTTAAAGCAATTATGTGATAGACGATATAATACATAAAAATAAGCTATTGTTATTATCATTCTGTGAGGGTAGGTTGAAAAGAATGGTTCCAAATAGACCATCCTGCTTTCTAGAAATTAAGGGAAAAAAGCATTTGTTAAATGCATACTCTGTGCCAGACATTGTGCTAGGTGTTAGGATATAAATTAAAAGAACATGGTCATATATCTCTATAGTCCCTGTTGTTGGGGAGGCAGAGGCTAGTGAATTGGTTGAGTTTGGGAGTGCTGAACTGCAATAAAGCTAAAACTGTTTGGGTATCTGAACCAATATGGTGAACTCTCAGGAGCAGAGGGCCGCCAGGCTGCTTAAGGAATGGTGACCTGGCTCAGGTCAAAAAAGAAAGAAAGAAAAAAGAACAGATTAAAGCTTCTATGTAAACCAGTATTAGGATAGGGCCTTTGAGTGACCATTGCATTTCCAACCTGGTTGAGACAGGGCGATACAGACTTAAAAATGAACAACAATAACAACAAAAAGTAAAACAAACCTGCCCCAAAGAAACTCAAATTCTCTCCCTTAGAGTATAGGGAAGAGAATTTTTGCTGAGAAGTTACAGGAATAGAGTGGAGACATAGATGATTGTCACAGCCTTTCCAGAAACAATATAAGTATTCATTTGATTACTATTCCTGGAGCAAGAGATGGAAAACAGGAGGGTTGAAGGGTGAGCATATAAGGACAGGCTAGATGGAAAGTTTTCTTTGGTGAATGGATATGAATGACTGGGCATCATGACCTGCCTTCCTCTGCTGTTTTTCGAAACACATAGACTCACACAGAAAAAAAGAAAAGAAAAAGAAAAAAAAGACAACCTACTTATCCGTTACTTTTCCCACTGTCCAAACACAGCTGACCTTGAGAAACAGTGCTGGGGAAGAGATGGGGAGGTAATGGCTTGCAATTTACATGCTTTTGATACTGCAAGTTACTGGAAGCTCTTAAGATTCAATATGCTCACACTCAGGAGTGTCAATGGTGGACTAGAATCCCTTGGGAGAAATGCTGCTTAACTGTAAAACCTGGAAAAGCACGAAGGGCCAGAGTAAGAATGAGTGATGTGTAAATGTTTTTTGCACACAAGGATAGACAGGCAGGAAGCAGAGATTTATAGACACCTTCACGATGTCTTGGGCCGTTTTATGGCACTTTGTTGTTGTAAGATGTTAGGGAAAATCATTACAAAATGTTATTTGGCTGGAACACTGTAGTAATTCCAGTAATGAATATGTGATCCAGTTTCATGATAGCTTCTTCCCAGGCAGTGAATTGTATAAAGGTGATTTTGAATCTATGGGCACACATGCATAGAAAAGGCTAACACTTTGATATAATTCTCCTGAAAAGACTTTTAACTACTTTTTTTTTGGGGGGGGGAACATTTTGTGATCACAGTCACGTCAGGTAATCTGTGATTTACAATTAAACTGTGTTCAAAAATCTGACTTATTTTTGTAGTTTTAAACATAATGGAACATTTTTGTTAGGATCATTCAAATGTATCTTTAACCATTAATATCTACCTTATACACATTTAAAAATATTTTATAGATACCATCAGTTTTTACATCACCTACATTTTACCCTGTACCTGTCCCCGATATGCATTTTATTACCCAGCAATA